TGTAGTTCTCGGTTTAAAATCCAAGAGAGAAACACAGACGTTCACATTCTCTCATTCAATGCCAATCAAAAATTATGTGAACATACTGAAAAATTAAAAACTACAGAAACCTCAGGAAACTGGCTATACAAGTGTCATAGCTGGCAATAAAAGTTGCGTCCTTCACTGCAGCCTCAAACTGTTACCGACTTACTCAAATGTCAACACGAAACGTTCTTCAGTCATCATTCATTATTTCACACTGACTAATTTGCTTGTATTTGGTAAGTTTAATGTAATATTTTGATAAAGTTGATTACAAAATATGAAAGTATTACATAAAATCAGACAAAATAAACGAACGTGATTTAATAAAGAAAACATCATAGCGTAATATGTTTGACAAACCATTTCAGGAACTTAATGATATTTACCAACACAAATTCAGAAGTAAAACAGGCATTATTCCACTATTGAATAAACAAACTTAATACCGGACGCTTGTAAACTAAAAACAGTGTCTTTTATTGCGAACTTTTAAAGCCATTGCAGTCTGCAGCACTAGTTAGTCCAAAACAAAAGTTCGAAACTAAGCAAAACATAAAATTGATGATGAGTTCATGAGTTCGTCAATTTTTCCAATGCAATGTTTGTCGAAGGAATCTAACCACATGTGAGTTATTAATCTCCATTTTGCATACGCCTATCTTCACATTGTTACTAAACTGTGTAGGGAAAACACTCATTTTCCTGGATTTCCAAATATTCACTGCTGATTACATGTGGGGCACGACAATACAATATCTGTGCATACATGTAGGTTTGAGGTCAGTTGGCTGCACTGAAGTTTGCCCTTCTTGGAAGGTGCTTGGATTGTTTGCATTAGAGCACAAAACTCACTTTAGGCTACCCTACGATTCGTTGAAGTGAAATTTTTGGAGTCCTTTTACTACTTTGATCTCATCATTCTAGCCCAAGGCGGCCAAACTATCGGAACCAAATGATTCTACTCGCGTTCAGCAAGGGTGAGGTTTTTGTAGCTGATGTCCATAACCGTGCCACCTTGGGTAGATAAATAGCTTGATCATTGAATAGATTTGCCAGTAAAGCGGTATCCGGGTATTGTAAGTGACCGCAATCAATCGAATAACAAAATGTGGCACAGAGTGTGGCAACTTTTACCAATTTAAGTTTAATTTATTTTGTTTGGAAAATCGTCTAGTGGTGCGATTCGTGTAAGTTGCATCGAAGAAGCAATAAAAAACACCAAACCAACATTGACTGAGACAGCATAATCATTCGTAACTCATTTTACAAAACATTAATTCAGTCCAACAATCTTCATTTTCTACTTCATCTGGTGCGGCCCGCACATTTTGACTTTATAATTCGTAGAGCGGCCTTTCGCTCAATGAAAAACCGCCTGAAATGATATTATTCAAATATGTGTCACAAATGCTGAAAGTAAATGAACTACCCAGGGATTCATTTCGCCAAATAGGGATAAATCGATCAATATTTCTATTTAATCTTTTTGTGTTTTAGATGAAATAAAAACAACGAGACTGCTCATACTGGTATCCCGAAATGGCACATGATCTTCATTCCACAATTTCGTTTCAACCTTCATCAAATACGAATTGCGTTTATGTTCATCCACTATAGTTTTTATATACATCCGAATTTTATCTTGTCTGAACAAATTCTTTCATATACCCAAAAACAACAATCAAATCAATGAATATTAAATGTATGATTTCAATGTTGTTGTATAACGAGCAAGTGTTTGCGAAAGCGTAATGATGAATCATTAGTTAGATATGTTTAATTTTGTATGCAAAGGTTTAAAAATAAGTATGGACAACCATGATATATTTTAGTTTTTTGGTGAAGTTTTGATTCACTTTTTATTACCAAAAAGGAACGTTTTGAATAACAAAAAGACAGGACAGTTGAACTATATCGGACAGTCACCAGAAGTATGGATTTAATATGGAAAATGGTTTTATGTTTGTAAACCAATTTGTTCTAAACTTGTTTAACAAACAGTCCACGTGTTTTGGGATTGCAAATAGGTGACAGAACGTTGTTGGTTCTTTCTGCTCAATGTAGCCGCGATATGTTTATGACGTCCCACATATATGTTTTTTGACTGCATACGTGTTCCGTTAGCTCTCGAGTAAGTTAGACAAGGATTGAGGAAAAATGAACCATTATCAATATACTATAACGAGTTAAATACCATCAAAAAATAGCTTAACTAATATCGCGAGATTATTAAAGTGTAATTTCACTTAGATGATCCCTTTGCAAAGGAATGTATTCCTTTCTTTCTTGGATCGATTCAACACACTTATAAATGAGAACAAAGCCGGAACGCGAGGAAATGTATTTACAATATATTACTTCGGAACATTTACATATACTGTTCGATTAGTCAGTTAAATAATAATAGACCCAGGCTGATGTTAATGAATGTCGATGGGCAAAATGTTTGGTTTACAACAAACTCTGATTTCACGATAATTGGATAGGTAAAAACTGATTGAAAATGTGTAAACTGGATAAGATATGAAAGGTGGTAGTCAAGAATAAAACATGTGTGAAAGTGTGCGAACAAATACAGTAAATGAGGATTGGAGGAGGGAGAAAAGAGAGTGTCAATTTGGAGATATGAGGAATGGTTTTTATGGCCACGGTAACAGCAGCGCTTCAACCAGATTGCGTTGCTTGAAAACCCCCAGTTTCATGGTACTAATTCATATATATTCCGTAGTTGTTACGATCTTTTGACGTAACTCTTTTGATGTGGTTCTTAGGTGCAGTGAATAAACTAGTGAGTGATGTTTCTGGGTCAATACTGTGCCTCATATCGACCAAAGGGTACAGGATTGAGTTGTTCAAGCTTCTCACTCTTCATTTCTGAAGAACGGCCGGATAATGTTCAGATATTCTCCTGGGCAAACGCCACGTTGTGTGTCTGATCTACCGAGCACTACAAGTGCACGTAAACGCATGTAGAACAAAGGGTTGGGACTGGTGAGGCAATTTATTCTTAAGCGGTTGAACAGTGAACGGCTAAGTCTTCAATGAGAGTTATAAATGGACCTTGGAAAAACGTTTAGCAATGGCTTTAGATAACCAATATTCCAAGATTTCTAATGCCCTGTCTTCCTTGAAGGGGAATTTGACAAAAGATTTCTTTTTAGTTGGTTTTGCATTTTCATCGTGTGGTTTTAATTCGAAATATCGTCAAAAAAGAGAGAAAAAATATAAATATAAATGTTTGCACAATGAACCCAAGATATCAAGTTATTGCAAAGTAAAATCTGTGTACATAATTTGGGTTTTTTCGTTTCCGTACTATTGTTGACCCGCTTTAATCAACGATCCACCGATGGGGGTTTACAATACACAGTTGTCAGTCACCAGAAAAAATAACTATTGTTGCTGAGTTAATACGACCTAGAAGCATGAAGCACACCACATCACTATCCTAATTTTCGTCCCTCAAGACAATCTCTGTAAACTTTTAACTATTGAAAGTCAACGGTTTAGGCGTATCATACCTTTATGCGACCTTTGCAAACTGCAAAATTAATCACTGAAAACAATTTTTTTCATCTAAGTGTCCTAAAGGGTACATTTCATCACCTCAATAAAATTTGTTCATGGAATGCTTAACGGGAAATTTAAACCATGCTCGATTGAAAAATGGTCACTCGGCTACTGTGTCGTTGAATCCGCTAGGGATTTCTTTTTCGACCAATGGGTGGTGGTCTCAGCAATCACCAATCCTATATCTGTCCCAGTGAGTGCTCATGATTGACACGGTTAAGCATGTGAACTGTGATTGGTCAATCGTATCTAATCGCATCATCACAACTACTCCAACCGAGATATAAGAACGACAGTGAGGTTCTTCATGAGCACATATTAAGCATCCTTGACAATAGGTAAGGACACTGTAATTGAGGTGAGTTGACATGCGTGATTCTCTTTGTGACATTTTCCCTAATGTCCATTGTATCACATGTATCAGATGCGGTATGAACATTATTTCGTTTGATTTGACTGAAGAGGATGTAATTACCCCTGATTTGCGGCAACTTATGTACCTTTACTGTGGTGAATATTATACTATTTGTTTTATTTTGATTACAAACAAACACGTTTTTCACATAGAAGAAATAACTTAGTGAACAATCAGCAAACTACGTAATATGAACTGTATGGACTGTTGATAACAGCTGATATTTTTTGAGAGTGAAATCCGATTTGCCACACAGAAAAAGTGCATCAACAGTGGGAACACTTCCACATTTTTGGTGTTTACCGCTTTGTGAAACTTGAGTATTTCGTTTGTTCATTTGGTTGTTCCAAACAGACTGGGTACAACTGAGAAAACTGCGTTCTAGTTTCAGAAAGTTAGTTTAGTCAATGATGGCTGCCTACAGCCAAACGTTGAAAAAACAAAAGAAGAAGTTTTCCAGACTCGAAACTATCGGAAAAACGCTTTGAAAACCTTTTTCCATTTGGTCGGTAACTTTACTGTTGGAGGTTCATAGTTCATAAGTGAAGCGTAGTTGTTCTCTGGAGGTTTGTGTAGCTGTCACTATAACTTCTTCTGTCATCACATCGTGGATTTTTACCTGATAATGTTGCTGTTGTTGTAATTTGATTCAACTTTTAGCCGCTTTCTCTACTTAGATGAAAGGACAGTGCGTTCCGTGGAAGCCGAGACTAATTTAAAGTCTATTTATGCTTTATATTTGAACCAACCCCATGACGTTTTTAATATATTTAATGCATTTTTCTACATTACTGGGGATTCATAAATGTTTGGATAATTCCTAATATTGTCATCTACTGCAAACGGTTGCAGTCGTCATTTCTATCCTCATTGGTTGACTACACCGAAAAAGCAAATTAAACTGTTTAGGCATCTTGTGTAGTGTGTATATTCTGTACTACAAATTCCGGCGTATTTCATTTGTAGAATGAAGATGATCGGATTGAAAATGATCCTGCTTGTTATCCTATTCGGCATGTACCTGCTGGAACAATCCGCAGAAGGCCGTGCCGTTGAACGAAATCGTCTGTACAAGTGGAATGGTGACCCCGAGCTGCTATGGTATCAGCGACAGGTTGTGGATAATCACAGAGGCGCGGATTATTTCGAACCATGGTTTGTGACAAAACGTGATGCCTATGCCGACATGCCTTGGGGAAGAAGACGTTGATGGTTTTCTAGTCCGATTCAAAACACGTACGGCTGTCACTGATTTCTCACTAATTGAGCCACGTTCCTATGTACAACAATTGTTTTCTTGATAATGAAAAACAACAATTTTTCAAACTTTGTTGTTCTTTACCAATGATAGATTTTCAGCGTGTGAGTAAGAACTTTTGTTGAACCGAATCTTTGGTTAAAATTATCTTCATGTTTAGATAAACACATTTGATCAAGTCTATGTGGAACAATGCTCATCGGTTCGATTACCGTGAAATCGTTCGTGGTTCGCTGGTTACCGAAAACTGTAGAGGTTAACTTCTTCTTCACCATAATATAAAGTGATTGTTTCCGAAATTATGCCGGTGAACTTTTGTTACTATGTTTCAGACAGCATACTGAAGTTTCAACTAAAATATCTTATTTTATCCCAGGATGATTGCACCGATAATGCTGGGGGAGAGGTTGGCTTTGGCACACTGAAGAAGTAACAGTGTGCGAGACACGTTTACATTACGTATCCTCAATCGGTTATTCATGAATCGGCAATAATTGTTGTCACAGTGGATCGTCATAACAAAGCAAATATTTATTGATGCATGACAACTTCCACGTCATAAAGAAGAGATGGAGGAGGGCAGAGACTAACTTAAGTTGACATACTTTCTGTATCAGGTTTGTTTAGGTCCATATTAGTGAGCAATAAATCGTAATAAGCCAGACTGTACTGAATAAACAAAATAAATAAATAAATGTCTTTTTACTTCCTTTTATTTATTTATTATACAAATGTGTAGTCAATTTTCAGGAACGAGAGCTGCGGCCGTACAAAGGCATCCTCGAAAAATACAGAAATGGGGAAGACGGGTGGCGATGAATACAGACAAATGAGAAATTATGGGTATTTTAAATGCTTAGATCATTTTACCAGTGAAATCTGTCTACAGGATGTAATTTGTAATCTACTAAACTAGGTTCTCGTCATGGGTTACATGCCACGTGTGAAAACTTTCGTGCGTTCTTTGGGCCGAACTTCAGTGCTTTCCTACAATGACAGGCTATTGCAGTTGCAGGTGACTTGGTAAATAACATGATTGTGATTGGAGTTAGTTTGGTTGTTTGAGACGTTCCATAGTTCATTCTCCTGGTCGTCAGTGGAACTCAGTCTCGCACTATATATTATTCATGGTTCCGTTTCAAATGGCGGTTTACTCTCTTGATTAAACGTTCCTCGTTGGTTGTTCAGAATATTATCTCGTGGTTAGCTGTATTAGCTGTTATTGCTTCGGGTTCACCTCCTGAGCTTCTTAAGTTCATCAAATGTTTGATCAACTGTGCACTGCTGACTTGCAGAAAACAGTGCCTATTTCTGGAAACACTACTCCTTAGGATTAGAGGTTCTAGAGTGGAAATCATTCTTTTTGACCCAATATCGCATAAGAGATATTATTACGATTACTATTGCTCAAAGAGTGTAATTAGACATTGCCGTTTGAAATAAATGCTCTAAATTTTATGAGAGAGAGAACACAAAATTCAAGTGGGACCACCCAGAAAAGTAATTCTTAGAAATGCACAGGTTAGAATAAAAGAGTTGAGAATGGATACGTTTTTCGTTTACCATGATGTGAATTTAATTTAGAGTACTATGCTTGGATTAGCCCATTCGATTGATCATAGGCACTAGGCACTCCTGATGGTCTTCGGTGTAGGTTTGACTCCTTGGGAGATCGTTAACTCCCCAGTGTTTCTGTGCATTTAAGAGCGATGGAAATGTTTGTGATAACCAACAAAGAGCAAGGAGTGAAACCCACACCGAAGACCATCAAGAGCGCCTGGTGCCTCTGGACAATCGAATGGGCTAATCCAAGCTTGATACTCCAAATTGATTGAGTCATTCGCACAACCGTGTAGCTCAGGGGTAACGGTTTGAAGTCCCGACCCGACTGATCGCGGTTGGAGTCCTGACAGGGAATCAAAAAGATGTGAATTCAACTTTGTAAGAATCGGTGAGACTCCATCTCACTATAAAAAAGTAAGCAAAATATGTAGCTTAAAGGAAACAAGTGATTTGCAAAGAGCAACCAAATCAACGAAGTAATCATAAAATAAATGACAAAACAATAACAATTAGTTATGTTTTTATCAAAAAGATGTTGAAAATATCCGCAACTTTAACGACAGATTCACCAGAACAAAAAAAAATTCCACTGGGACATTTCAATGACGTGCCATGCACGCTTGTTTCAGAACCGTTCTTTCAGAACCATTGAGTGAACAGTGAGAGCATTTTCACACCAAAAGGATAAACGTAATAAAATAGCGGTCAGGTTGAATACCTCACTCCTCATAAATAACACAAATCTGATTGAATCTTTTTCAGTTAGGAAATCACAATGCTTGTGATAGGAATCATTATCATTAGTTTTTTAACGCCTCGAGACAGATAAGCGGAAAATACCAATAAATGAATCAGTCAGACACGTGAATCTCCTCTCCCCCCAAAATTCTTACTTAACTCGAAGATTGGAATGCCTCGGCAGAGTGTTAAATTAAATGCGACAGTGCTTATAAACATCAGTTGCAAATGTTGGAACGCATTACGCGTGCTCCGAGCATACGAGGTACTACCTGTCCTATTCAAAAAATAAAATAACCCTTAGAAGCATGTTTTTTCATTTTAGACTATATCCTTGTCTGTCAGTTTAATTCTTAATTTTAAGTTGTCGCGAAACTCCCGAGTAATAAGCGAACCTGTAACTGGGTAAAGAGAACATCTTCAGTGTTATTTTTCCATTAAAACCTAGAACGCGAAGCTTACAGATTTGTTGATTTAAAAGAAAATTCTTGGAAAGCCGTCCATGAGGCGGTTGTTTCGATCTATTTGGCAGACTACAGTTGCAAATGATACATATAAGAATGCACAGGTATATCCGAAACCCACAAAAATCCGTATTTCAGCAGGTATATTTAGGTGAATCATTTTCCTGCTACAAAAACAATAAGTGATAGAAGTTTGTATTATGAATGTATTGGTTAGTTCCAAGCAGTGTCGATAAAACTGCTAACCAGCTTGGACCTTACGGAATATAAGTAGTTCTGGTATCAAAGGTATTGCCACACTACTATACATGTGGAACTGAAAGAGGCTTTACCCAAACGTGCTTCTTAGAGTGAGATAAAATTTATAAATATTACAACTAATAACTCCGAGGAAGACTGGTCTTTGATAAGTAGGCTTGATTACGGAACAAGTTGATCTGTGCGAAGCGGGGCCTCAAGATATATGAAACCTCCGTCTGAATTCCTTTTTCCAAACAAACCTTGAAGAAATGCTTTTTCACAATTAGATGGACTGCACATCTCAAGAACATTCTTCCATTACGATATATTGTATAGACTTACAGTTAAGATGGCTAGAGAATTAATAAACAAAAGAGGTTAACAAACTTGGTTTACTAATACTACTAACTGCTTGTATATGGGTAAATTAAAAAAATAAAAGCAGCAAAGACGTTTCTGTGTTGACGTATTAGGGATTCAATTGGCACACCTTCAAGATGTTGATATGGGTCACGAAACAAGATATGGCTACTTCTGTCTACAGGGTTAGATGAACCACAAGCCTGATTCATCTGATTAAACATCTCGTTTGGCGGAAATGAGGTAACAATCACAAGGATCATGGAATTTATCTCCAAATAAATCACACGAATATCACAAAACGACTTGGTAGAGATGTACAACAAACCGGAATGGAGTTTGCAAGCGTCAGTGAATACTACTACTGTGAGATATGCTAAAGACGTAGGAAAACCTGAATTTTGACTGATTTGATGGAAGATAAACATATAGAAACACGGTTTTTTTTCAGATGTCTGAGTATCCCTAATGTTTGATTAGTGCATGAAATGACAACTATGAGAGGATGCACCCTTACGTTCCCTGTTAATCGAAAAAGTAACAAAGTGTGAACATGTTCCTGTCAAGCCTGATGATTTGTCCATCAAAAATTGATGCTTCAACATGCTAAATTTATCTTCTGATGGAATTAAGTACATTTCATTTTCTAAGATATATCAGACCATATGAATCAAAGTTCGAGATGGCTGGTAGCAGATCCGTAGAAGAAGAATATCTTGTGAGCCTCAGTCGAATAGAGATAAAATACAGTGTTTTCTCACACAGCCACACTGGATGAATCATGTCATTCGACTTATATATCTAGCGAAGAGACTTAAAGACGGTTGAGTTCTACAGCCTTTGCAAATAGTAGGGGACATCCTTAGCAGATTATGTGAAACCCTTTCTGTGTGCCCAGAAACAATTTTTCAAACGCCAGACAGGGGAAAAAATTCATAGTGCAGTGCTCCGTATAATCCCGGATGATTGGAGTATCGTGTCAGTGCGGTTTGGATTGTAGATATCGACTTGACAAAAAGGACTAGTTATGAATGAACTTTGATTGAAAATCAGAACAAAGATGTGGATAAAATCAAGAACAAAGGTCCATATGGAATTAAAATGTGGTTGAAATGGAAAGTTTAGCAAAAAGGGATAAATAAGCGCATCAGCCAAACCAACTCGAAATCAATCTCTTGGTTTACATAACTTTGATTGAATGCCTTCAAATAGCTGCATCTTTCTTAAAATTAGCTAGACAGGGGTGCCTTTTGCTTGCTACCCTAAATCACTGTGTCGGTTCTGCACGTGATTAGCACTATGTTCCGAACTGCAAATAGAAGATTAGCAGTAGTTGTTATCGATACCAGTAGCAGACTTTGGAACGTATTCCAAAATATTCGCGCTCATTGTTGCCTTTATTTGTTCTTTAGATCTGTGAATCTTCGATTATTATAAACGTATTTTCTTTCACAGCTGACCGAATGTAGCCTTTTCGACCTGATACCATCAAATAAGCTGTTGCACGGAAACCAATTTCACCAATGCTTGGCGCATCTCAGCAGAATCCAATTGGTTTCATATTGAAGCTAATTAGGCAAATGAGGG